GGGTGCGTAACTGACTATTCCAACTCAGCGCGAGAACTGATGATCATCTCGCAGAAATATACCATTGATGTCGGTTACGAGAAGTTCCTGGCTCCCGAGATATTCTTCAACCCTGAAATATACTCATCCGAATTCCTCACGCCGCTACCCGAGATCGTAGATGATGTTATCCAGGCCTCACCAATTGATGTTCGTCGTGGGCTTTACAAGGTGGATTCATTTTCATGCCATGTTCTCGAGACAGGTTAAATCTTTGCAATAGAACATCGTTCTCTCAGGAGGCTCCACTATGTTCCAACACTTCGGGCAACGTCTCAAGCGTGACTTGAAGCAACTGGTAGACCGCAGATTAGACGCGAGCTCTGTCGCAAGCGGCAGCGTTCTCAAGGTGAGCTATCATGCTCAAACCAACCCGGACCTACTAACCACGACCTGTATCCAGTCATCTGGAGTGGAAGTCGATGTGATCTCTCACAAGCGCCAACGATACGCCGTTTGGTTTGGTGGCTCACTTCTCGCGTCTCTTGTAAGTCAGGTTTTCTGCTTGATATGGTGTTCAGGCCTGATTGGAGCCATCAGCCCGAGTTTTATACTTCGTGCCACACCAAAGCGCAATATGATGAGATTGGACCAAGCATCTGCAGGCGGTACCAGATTTTCGGGAGTGCTACGTGATTGTTTGTTTCAATATAAGAAAACCTGTGACCGAATCAAGATTTATTTGTATATTCTACCGAAGATGTGTGATTGCGTATCGTCAAATAGAGATCATGATAGTAAAATGACAATGACGAAACTGGCTTCCCACACAAGCTTTCGAGAGGACTGGAAAAGACTCTGGCTTTTTTGGCACAAAAGCTGAGAGAAACAGACAAAAAGTCCTTCGAGCCGGGATCGAACCAGCGGCCTCGGGATGACTTCACTCAGTGAGTGATGATGTTAACCATTACAGTCCCACGCTCTTCCAACTGAGCTATCGAAGGCGATGTAAGGCTTTGTAAATGGTTAGCTATAACCCGTCTCTCGGACCTCGACGCCATCAATACCATGCGTCCCCAGTAAATTTCAAATCTGTTTCTTCCTGTTTCTTCCTGTCATTATTATACACACACAATGGACGTCCCAGTTTGCAAGTGATCAGGTTTCTTAAGGATTGGCAACGAACTGGAAATTAGAAGGGCTAAAAGAGAGTGCTGCATATATGATCAAGTCAAGAGCATAACGACCACATTCTGGAGGACATTTAGACGAAGTTGAACATATAAGGTACGCCCAACAGAAGAAATAAGGGACGCGGGCAGGCGAGGGGGAAAAGGAAGAGCAAAAGCAACCGACGAGATATCCGACGAAAATAAGAGTACAAGTATAGTATGCACCGCCGTTGCTCCAAAGCTTTGGGTAGAGTATTGTCCAACTCGGCTTGAAAGTAACTGAGGCTGCGAAATTAGAAGAAATTGGGGTGACACGGGTGTTGGATACAGTCCCCCTATATGTGTGCATTTGATGAAAAGAGCGGCTGTTTATTGCTGGAGCATCAACATCGATCTGGCGCTAGACATCCTGCCGTCAGGAGACACAGGAGTGGGTGGCATTGGAAGATCACGGTCGCGCTCGTACGACGTTCCCGCCCCCGAGGAAGCCCGATAGGATGCCGGGGGCATATTTCCGGCAGCATGAGCATACGACGAGGCTGGGTCCAGGTGGGCGTTACGCTGGTGTGCGCCATTCGGGTGTGCGTAATGCACGAAGGACTCAGAAGGAGAAGGCGACGGTGTCACCTTGGGCTTCTGTTCCTCACCAGACGCAGAGCCGCCTGATTGCGAGGCGTCCTCGAGTCGCTGGCGCCGTGCAGGCCTTTCCGAACTAGGGGAGAGCGAGCCCGACTCGGCCTTGACGTTGCCTCCATTCTTCGTAGATACGCTAAGGGATGCGCCGCTCTTCTCCTTGCGCTTCCTGTTTGCCGCGGACCCTGTGCCTTCTTTCTTTGCGCGCGAGCGAGCGAAGCGCAGCCCACACCTGCGCCAAGATAAATAAACATCAGTCACCTCATAAATGGCAGAAAGTGAGCGACACTCACGCATTGCACAGCTCCTTCTTGCCGCTCGGACCCTTCCTCCATTCAGGACTCTGCGTAGTCTTGCAGCTTGTGCATCTCTGCACCCCCGCAGGCATAGGCACAGGAGCACGTCCTTTCGAACTTGCACTCGCGCTATCCTTCGCTGTGCCAACGTTGGAGTTCTGAGGACTAGCACGTCGCCTGGATGGAGGGACTAGATCACTGGCAGTGGCACTTGCTGGGCCGGCATTGTAACCATATTCCGCGGTCTCCGGCGCAACCTCGGGGCGTGGCGGGTATGCCTGGCTCGAATCCATGTATTGCTGTTGGTTGTTATTCCATTGCTGATGTTGGGCGTAAGGTGCTTCAGAGTTTGGGTCGGCCCACTGCTGGGCAGGATACCCGGGCTGACCCTGTGGATGTTGGTATCCATTGCCGTACGCTGGCACGGTAGATGCATAAGGTGGTGGTGTAGGGTACCCGTTGCCATTCTGGTCGTAGTATTGTTGCTGCTGCTGCTGCTGCTGTGGCGAAATGTTTTGTCAATTTCTTATTACAAAGAGAGCAATAGTGGCATTACTTTGTGGCATGCAAAGATGATGGTGCCATGCGGGACGATGATGCTTTCGATTTCACCGATATGGTTCAGCTGGCATGCCTTGTACCTCCTCGTACAGCTTGTCTTGGCGCCGTCCCCGCCTTGCCCAGAATGTATGTTCACATCTTCTACGAGCTTCGCGTAATCTCTGCCCTGGCCCTGGTCAGGCGGCCAGGTCATCATCAGTGCCTTGTTATCGTTGGACATGATCTGGAATACGCGGGTTGAGACGACCCCGCTGTTGAGGGGCACGCAGACGAGGAGGCGCTGGTAGAGCAGCTCGATCTGCTGCATGGACATGTACGGCGTGCCACACCAGTTCGTCCAGTGGCTCTTGTGCTGCTCATCGTTGTCCTCGGGGCCCAGGTCCGTGACGGCATGAATGAAGCACAGCACGAGATTGTCCGCGGCCCAGTTGATGACAATGTCCACGGCCATATAATGGTCGTCAAGCGCAATACGGTCGGCCTCTTGCCATGGGGACTGACTTGTGCGATGGCCAAGATCATATCTAATGCGCGAGAGGCGGGAATACCGGACGCTAGTAGAAGAAGGCACATGTAAGGGACGTTGCCACAATTGAAAACCATAGGGGAACTGTACCGAGTGACGCTCCCATGGAGGGTCTTGTTGTCGAGCACGCTGCCAAGGTCGTACTGCGCTGATGAGCGCTCATCAGGATGCACGAAATCGAGGAGGGACCTTCCGACGAGGGTGCTGGCTTGCTCCTCGAGGTGGTACTGGAGCACTGGGTCAAGGTAGATGAAGTCGAGTCCAGCGGACAGCAACGACCAGTCTGTGACCCATTTTTGCCGTCAGAACGAGCATAAACAAATAATGGAAGGAGAAAATGGGGGAAATGGCCGTGTCGATCATCCAGCTCACCACCGATCATTGTGATCGGCGTCCACCGCAACGAGGCAAATTCGACGGCGATGGCACTCACAGCAGCGGGTTTCGCCAATCTTGGGCAGCGCACGGGGAACGGGGTCGACAAACGTCGGTTGCCCGTCGTGCCTTGCAGCTGGTGCTGCAGTCATGCCTGTTGTTGTGCCATACACGTCTCCGTGCCCGCCGTTCATATGTTGTGGCGGCGCCGGCGGCTGGGCCTTACCGCTCGGGTGTGCCATAGGAGCAACACTATTGGACGCATTGGGAGAGCCGTTCGCATAGGGATGGTTCATGGCGCTGGTCATCGTTCCACACGGGCGGGGGGGAGATAGCTCGACGGGGCCAGGTGGCAGCGGGGAAACTACAATATTAGAATATTGTACAGTATGTGAGTATGTTCGAGCGAATGTGAGGTGTATTTGGGTCGGGTTTGGTACGAAGATGGGTTTGCGAGGTTGGTGGGACTGGGGAGTCGACAGAGCGCCGTCGGTGGCTAAGACAGGGTCCACGGATATTGCAATTTCATAAGTTTGCAATTTGGTGTGTCGGTTGCTCCCGCCGACAAACGTCCCTGTACAGTTTCTATTCAAGTTCGGTTTTTCAAAATTCTAAAGTAAACCTCAGGCCAAGAAGCGATGCGACAAGGCGGTAGCTGAGTCGCTCGGCCTCAGCACAATCGCCACCGCCTCCTCCTTATCGAGGTAGTCCCACACTCCTAACTGCCGCAGGCGACATGGTACATCCGAGCAGGCAGTTTAAACGGTTGCGTGATACGCTTTGCTTCAAACGTCACTATGAGCACGTAGAGTTTTTCGTGGAGTGTACTCGCGCAGTCTTGGTACGCCGCCGATGGTTCCCATGTCCCATCGTAGGTAATGTCAAAGCTTGACGCGGTTGCGCACCGATCTACGGACCCCAGTCTGCTTTCGCATCATAATTGATATTCGTAACGTTCCTTCCCTCCTTTGTCGTTGTGAATACCTACTCCAAACTTCCTTGAAGTTGCGATTGCTCGCGCTGGAACTGCTGAGAAGGCCGAGCGCTGAAGCAACTTGCCCTGAAAGTGTAATCATTGAACTCGATCGTGATGCGGCCCACGCCGCGGCGTTGTTCAGTCTGATCCGACGTCACCACTCCCCGATCACTTTGGTTTTTGAACGCCACACTCTTGCACCGAAAACGAACATAGACACAAGCCAGCATGCCAGCACCCATCATAAACGGGACTACAGTGGCTCCAAACCCTATACAAAAGAACATATGGGTGGCAGCAGGGGATGGAGATCTAGATCGTGTCCGGGTGCGTCTTCAATCGATCGAAAACTGGCTGGAGTCTGATCAACTACTGGTTGTGTGAGTAGGAGTTGATAGAAACTCAATGCAAGTCATAGCCGTACTTCATCGTGCTCTCTAAAGCATGAGCTGCGAGCTGCCCAAGTCTAACGCATATCGCTCGTTCCAGCCGTAGACGCTAACGCACCTGATCCCTATACTTATACACCCATGTAGGCACCCTCGGTTCCTGCCAGTCTGATGATTACAGATAGTAAATGCTGACTGTCTGTTATAGGCATGCAGCTGCATCGTATGATCAGATCCACATCCTCGAGTACCTCGTCACGCGTGGTGAGCACGTTTCTTGCGAAAAGACTTGAATATATGCGCTAAAACTAAACGGATCAGGCGGGAATGTAAATATAACAGACGAAGACGGGGACACCCCGATATATACGGTCGAGAACATCGCAACCGCCCAGTGGCTGGTAGAGCATGGCGCGGACGTTCATCGTTACAATGGGGAGGGAATTTCGGTAAGTTCCCGCCGTGACGTTCCTATTTTCGATGTTAAGCTCATTAATCTACAGCCAATCGAGCATCTCGCGGAAGATTTTCCTGCGGTCGCTTCCTACCTGGCGTCGCTTCCCAATACCTCACCCGCCGCCACCGTTTCCTCCCCTGTACTGCTCGCTCGGCCAGAGCAGCCTTCTCAGCACTCGCAGAATGCTGCATCAGAAGAACTTACCTCAACGCTAATCGAGCGTGTAAGTGACGTTGCGACGCGTGCCGAAATCGACGGGAGAGATCTGGATGAGGAGGAGTTGCGAGCTGTCGTTGAGAGGACTGTAATTGATGGGCTTCACACGGGATATGGGATGAGTGTCAATGCGAATGGCGAGGAGAGAGAGGAGAGGGACGAGGCGAAGAGATTGAAGCGCGACGAAGGGCCAATGGCGGGTAGGTAATATGCGCATGGACTTTCAATCCATCAGGATCACAGCAGGGAGTTACAATAATACCAGTTTTCTTTTGTCAAGTCTAATATTTCAGCACACTTGTTTATCTTTCCTCAGATAAGAGTTCAGATAACGCCGGCACTTTTCATATTTTATGGCAGACCCCAGGCTAACGGCTTGTGCTGCGTGGCCCTGTACCTGGCC